CGAGCCCCGCTGCTACCCTGGTGGGGGAGGGGGAGGGCACTTACCGGTACAGGGCAGGCCGGGGCTGGCTCTGACCCCCCATCCCCGCCCCTTCCACCTGAGGCCCTGCCCCTTCCGGGGGCCAGAGCTGGCCCCAACCCAGCCCCATACCGGTAAGTCCCTATTTCTACTTTCACCCCTGGGGTCGGGGCAGTCAGGGGACAGGGAGCAGGGTGAGTTGGGTAGGGGGTGGTGCCCTGGGGGGCAGTTAGGGTGGGGGGTCTTGGGCTTGTACTCACCGGGTGGCACTTAATAACGGATTGGTGGCAGCACTTCGGCGGCGGGTCGTACACTCGCGCCGGCTCTTTGGCGGCACTGAAGGACCCGCCACCGAAGTGCTGCCAAAGACCCGGTAGGGAACCGGTTGTTAACAGTCTGGCAGCTCATCACTAGTGCAGACCCTTCCAACGTCATGGGGGGGGGGGTCCATCGCTGTATTGACTCCACCTCTGTGAGACGTGGTCGCTAGGTCGACGGGAGAATCCTAACATGGGCCTGGGGTCCACACCGGGGGTGAGGTCACCCAAACTCCAGAGCTCACGGCCTGGAATTTTCCACAGCCCGGAACGCTGTAGCTAGGTCAGCCTAATGTTGAAGTGCGGAGCAAGCCAAGACCAGAGAGAGGCAAAGGCAAAGAGGCTAGAAAAGCCAAGCGGGTCCCTGTCTGCACAATGTGACCCTGGAAAAAGCTAGAGAGAGACCTTCCAGGGCTGGGGCTGGCTGGGGAGCCTTGGGGAGGGGAGGGGGCTACAAGCTGAGCGACTGTCTGATTTGGGCACAGAGACACGGGACGTCGTACTCTGCTTGCAAATAAACAAAACTGTGTCAAAGCCAATCCCTGGCTAGCCCCGATTTCTGCCTCCAGCTGGAGCGTCCCCCGAGCCCCCTACTTTGACTAGCCGCTGAGGTCAGAAGGGGCAACGTGTGTGTCTGTTTATGGGGTAGGTGAGTGCGTGTGTGAGCGTGAGTGTGTATCAGCGTGTGTGCTGTACGCAGGTCCCTCGTGCCCCTGAACTCCCAGCTCCGTCTGTCCCGTCGCAGCAACATGGGGACAGAATCCCTGACCCCTCCACTAACCGACAGCCCCCACCCCAGCACCCCGCCACGCCCCCCGGAGAGACCCAGCCAGGGCAAATCCCCTTCCCCAATCCCATCCTGCCTCCGGCTCACCCTCCATCCGGCTCTGAAGCTGGCTCTCTCTCCGGCAGGAAAGAGCTGAGCTTGGACCCCGTCCCGTAAACAAGGGGCCCCTCCTGGGAAGCTCCAGAAACGATCGTCGCCTTGATTGGAGCCGAAGTAAGAATAAGGCCGGCCGGGGGCTGGACAGTGTCCCAGTTCCCCTGCGCTTCTTTGCCTGGTGCACGATGGTTCCTGTCAGCAGGCTGCAGACAATACTCTGCTCAGCAGCAGGACTTCTCCAGACTAATCATTTCCTTCCCCTTGCCCAAAAGAAGGGTGAGCAGCGGAGGGCTGGAGGCACCGAGCTGTGGTGCAGGCTGAGCGTTGAGCTTCTATCCAGAGCTGACGGGAGGTTTTCCAGAGGGATGTTTTGCTGTTGGAAAGTGCAGATTTCTCAACCCCCAAATTCCCCGTGGGAATGCGCCGACCACAAAGCAAAAAGGTGACAAAGCGGGGCCCTGATGACAGCCCTCAAATGGGCCAGGGCTGTTCTAACGCGCTCAGCTATTCTCCTTGTCCAGCGAAGGATGAGAAGTGATGGTTAATCCCCAGCAGGTGAGACTGAAGGGTGGATTTTAGGTCCAACTTTCTAACTCGAAGGGGAGCTGAGTACTGGAACAGGTTAACAAGGGAATCTGCCCCATGGCAGGGCCTCTGTGTGCCCCCATGTACCGGGTGCCCCCATTCTTTCCCCATGCCAGTGGCTCTAGTGTCCCTCACCATTTTTCCCTTCTGTTTTTCTAGTGCCCCCCAAATGGACAGGGTTCTGCCCTGACAGTTTGGCGCTGATCAGATGCGGCGTTCAAACATGATCCTGTAACACCCACACAGATGGGCGGACAAAGACAAGCCACTGAGCGGCGTGTCAGGCCTCACTTCACCAGACCTACTGACAATGGGAAGGGACCCAGGTGCTGCGGAGATGGGGGCCAGAGAAGCCCCTGCCATAGGTCGGGGCCCTGCACAGACACCCGAGGTCTCACAGAGGGGACGTGCAAGCTCACCCAGCAGGCCAGCGGCAGCTCTGGGGGCAACCCCCAGCTCTCCTAGCCCCCATCCCTCACCAGGGGCAGCAGCAGGGGTCCGGCTGTCAGCCCAGCAGCGGGGTGCCAGCTCTCAGCCTGGCCAGGCTCTGGCTGTGAGCCCCATGCAGGCGATGTAAGTAACAGTGTCTACACAGTCACTGCGTCACCCTAGCTACACCCACCTAAGCGCTACACCTCTCACAGAGGCGGCGTTATTGGGTCAGCGTAGCTGGTGACTCACATCGGCGGAGCCCTGCTGGAGTGTAGACATGAACAGAGTTAAGGCGACGTCGACCTAACTCTGTAGTGTAGCCTAGCTCTCCGATCCGATCCGATCCTCTCTCTGCAATGGTCAAGGGAGGAGCTGATTAGACTCTCCTAAGGGTTTGTTGCTTTGTTCAGTGATTCTAAAAGTGTAGGACTGGAAGGGACCTCGATGCGCCATCTGGTCCAGTCCCCTGCACTCATGGTAGGACTGTAACAGCCCAACCATGCCTGACGGGGGTTTGTATAATTTGCTCTTTAAAACCTCCAATGCTGGGTTTTCCACAGCCTCCCTAGGCAATTGGATCCAGGGCTTAACCACCCTGAGAGTTAGGAAATTTTTCCTAATGTCCAACCTAAACCTCCCTTGCTGCAATTTAAGCCCATTGCTTCTTGTCCTGTCCTCGGAGGTGAACGAGGCTGCATCGCCCGATGCCCGGCTCCCCCGACCCGTCCCCACAGAGATGGACCCTGGCTCCCGGAGCCCCCGCTGCTCCGGAGGGGCCTGCGCAGCACGAGCTGTTCTCAGCCTGGGGCAGGAAGCATGTGGGCCGGGAGCCTGGCCGGGGAGGAAGAGGAAGTAAGAAGGGTGGGGGACGTGGGGAGCCAAGGAACTGGCCCTAAGGTGTGACAGACACAGACCGGGGTCTGGCCCCTGAAGGGTTAATATTGAGCAATGATTTAGCAATGATTTAGCAATGACTCCCTCTGCCAGTAACTGTGACGATGAAGGAGGGCAGAGCTAGGGGGCACTGTGCTGTGGGGAGTGGGGCAGGGGACATCATGCTGCGGGGGGGAGGGGGGGCGCCTCGGCACAGCTCCAGGGTCACAGTTACTGGCAGAGGAAGTCATTGCTAAACCATTGCTCAATATTAACCCTTCAGGGCCCAGATCCCGGTCTGCCCCACCCGAGGGCTAGTTCCTCGGCTCCCCCCATTCCCCACTCTCCTTAGTTCCTCTTCCTCCCCAGGCCAGGCTCCAGGCCAGGCACTTCCCGCCCCAGGGAGAGAACAGCTTGTTCTCAACAGTCCCCTCCAGGGGCAGCCGGACTGGGGCGGGGGGGGAGATTTTCCCTGCAATTAACTTCTATCTCCTTCCCTCCTGCTCTAACCATTCAACCCCACTCCACTCCCAGAGCTGGAAGAGAACCCAGGAGTCCTGGCTCCCTTGCTCTAACCACTAGAGCCCCCCCCGCCTCACTCACACACTTTTTCAGAACTATCACAGAGGAGTGTCACCATAAATCCCCACCCCATCCTCGGATCCCCCTAACTCCTGTCCCCTACCACCCAGCCCCCTCCCCATAACCACCTCCACTCTAATCTCCGCTCCCCCGCTTCCACCCCCTAATGTTCACTCCCTTCTC